GACTGACAATAGGGCATTACATACAGTATAGCGATGGTCGAACAAGGCGTTACAGCCGGATCGGAGCAGGGCCTTACAGTGTTCTGAGGTTTGAAAGTCGGGACAGGAAGGTGGGCGGGGTGCTTGTCAATCCGCTCCTTGACAGGTCACTGCCAGCCGACGGAAAGGAGAATAGGATGGTGGGCTGAGGCAGGTGGAATTGAGTGAGAAGAGGATTGAGTGGATGGATGGTGAGAAGAGGCCAGTGCAACAGGTGGTTTGGGTGTACGGGAGAGGGCAGCTATAGCATGAGCAGCAACGTCATTGGATAGGTAGGGTCAACAGGAACGAGCGAGACTGAGAGCATGCGGAACGAGCAGAGATAAGGACAAGGTGAGCTAAAGAATCAAATAACCGATTCAAAGACAGCTGAAACTGTCAATTCAAGAGTGTGCTCAAGAGTGAACACAAAGGCAAAGAGGCATGGTCGAAGGCGATGCCTCTGTAACAACAGAGGAGTCAGCTCAAGAATCAACTCAAAATTCATCTCAGGGGTCAACTCACAAGTCAACCCAAAAGGCTCCTTAATGACAGAGGCCCACTCACAACATGCATACTGACAGACATCACATCAGCATGCTGAACAGATAGGCAAGGCGAGGATTCCTGCCATGCTGCCCAGCAACGTGGCATGAAGCCCAGTGGTTTGTAAGCTGATGACACGGCTGGTCCCGTGGGGTTCAGTGTGGCGCAGTGAAGCGGTAAACTGAGAGGTATTGTAGCAGTAACAGAAGGCGCTCACAGGGAGGTGAGGGATGTGATGGTTGATATTGGAGCCATGAGTGCTTCAGAAATGCTGTTGCCACCCAAGGACCTGTTTAGAGGACAAGGGGTAGGAAGGGATTGGTTAAAGGTGCAGCAAACATGCTTGAACTGTGAATAGATCATGACAAGCAGAAGTGGCAGATGTGAAAGTATCTCGTGTAACAAGCCACAGAGCTGCGTGCATGAGCATGGGGAAAAATGTGCAGTCACTATATACAGAGCATGGAGAAGCGGTGGAGGGGCCAGCACTAACAGTTCTTGAAGGTAAGCAGCCCCGTTCAAATAACTTGGTAGCGGCCCTGTTATATCATTGTTACTCAGGTCCCTGCCATGCATGTCATGGCATGCCACGTCATTCCACACCAAGCCGTGCATGCCATGTCACACAATGTGTTGCAATGTGAAGGCATGATGAGTAAGTATGAAGGGGGTCATGCCTGCATACCCTTGGCACTCGTTGCATGCATTCAAAGTATAGAGAGACAGGTGAGGCCGCGATGATACAGCATGATGGCAGATGAGGGATGCATGGTGAGTGAGAGGGATGTATCTTGAGAGGGATGTGTTGTGAGCGCGATCCACAGACACAGCATGCATGAGCCACTGAATGACGGCATAGCACACATGAACAACTTGGGCCCCATGCCATACCATGCAGAACCAACCCACTCAGGAGTCAGAGGCAAGTGTGGGAGAGGCTAGGAAGGCGCTCACAGCAGTGTAAGGTAGCCGAGTCTTGTGATTTCTGTAGGAAGAACGCCTTTGATCCCACACCCGGCCGCACGTCTGAAGCGAGAGGCAAGTGAAGGGGGAGTGAGATGGAAGTGCATGAAAGAAGCCGTGAGAGGAAACTTGTAAGGGTGGATGAGGGTGGGATGGAAAACAAGAGTGCAGCAAAAGGTAGCAACTGATTAGGCGGGCCATGAACAGGGCCGGATGGATTAGAGGAGAAAGCCTGGTCATTGCTGTTGGGCATTTCAATCTAGCTTTCAGATGTACAGTTAGGAGAAGTGCAGAGTTGTTGTGGATTCTTGATAAGAAATCCATGATGGGAGAGAAAGAGCATGCAAGCATTACACAGGGATGCTGGCGATGGTGCTGGTGGTGCTGGCACTGGTGCAGGTAATGGTGTGCAATGCAAGCTGAGCTCTGATATGTTAGTGAGTGCTTTGGTTAGCTTACAGCGATTGCAAGTTTAGATAAATGTTTAATATTGCTCCTGAAAGGGTTCCTGAGAAAGGGTTGTTGGAAATGTCTCCTAAAAAAACTAAACGAGTAAAAAAAGGAAAAACAGGAAGACGATGCAAGAAACATGACGGCTATAACGAAAGTGAGCAGAGCGCTCGAACCGGCTGGCCCGCCTGTCGGCGTAATGAGAGTGGTATTTGAGTGGAACGAACGGAAGGGTGGACGCACAATGTATTGAGAGAGGTGACGGGAAAAGCCTGGTTTATGTCGCCTGTCAGCTGGTTGTTTGCCAGCTTCCTGTGGCACGCAAACACAAGAAAACATGGAGAGGGGAAAGGGGTGAGGAGGTGGAGATGAAGAGGGGGGGAGGGAGAGTGACGTAGTTGTGTCTCCCACCTTGGTATTACAGAGGACTATTCGAGAGGGGGGAGACGGCAGCACATATCTGTTGAGAGAGGGTACGAGGAGAAGGAAGAGCGTATGAGTGTGTGATAAGGATGCGAGGAAGCATCCAAGTGCAGAGTGGATGAGAGGCAGCAAAAGAGGGAGGAGAGGGAAAGATGAAGAGCCAAAATAGGAGAGGGAGAGCGAGAAGAAACGTCTGCAAGAATGGATAGCCTAGGAGAAGAAACAGGCAAAGCTCTGCCTCTCTGCTCCGCCTCTTTGCTCTGCCTCTCTGCTCTGCCTTGCTAGCTGCAACATTTTGCATTCTAGTCCAAGTGTTGAACTCAGTTTTGGGTGTACACTCTGTAAGAATCCCAGCCACTAACCACTTGGATAAAAGGGCTTGTTTGTGTAGCGGGTGAGTGCTCCCATAACTTCCTAGGCCAACATGTCTGTAACCCTTCCCTAGGATGACTGTTAGTTAGTACTCATATCTTTGGATGACTTATCTGAGATGACATATCTGAGATGAGATTCATATGGATAATTGTTTTGACTCCCTTCAGCATGCATGTCTGGTTTTTTATTCCCTCTATCCTCACAGGCCCAACAGGCCCAGAGGGAACTCTGAATTTCAACATCCAGAATGGAGTGACTGTAAAAGAATGGGCACAACGCTCGAACCCAAACAAGTTCGTGCTAAAGGCAAACATGAAGGTGTTGGCCTCTATGATCGAACACCCGAACACCACTCTTTGCTGAATGTATTCGACACATGTCTGACCCGAACACACACTTGTTCAGGTTTTGCTCACGTCTAGGTACCTGTATTGGCAGCACACACGGGCAAGTGAGGGTCAGCACAGCACTGCATGAATGAAGGGGCCGTGGAGAGAGCACCATGGATGGAGGTAAGTGCTGGCGTGCAGTGGGGGTGAGGGAATGCAGTGGGGGATGCAACGGGTGGGAGCTTACATGAAGCGCAACCTTTTTAGGTTTGAGAGTCCTATGGGAATAGATCCTGTGAACTGGTTGTTGGAGAGATCTCTGATGTTGACAGGCGCACGACAGGAAGGGAAGGGAAGCGAAAGGAAGGAGGGGAGGGAGGAGAGAGAAAGGAAGGGAGGGATGGAGGAAGGGAAGGGAAAGAGGGAGGTAGGGAAGTGGGAAGGGAGGGAGGGAGGAAGGGAGGGAGGGAGGGAGAGAGGTAGGTAGGGAGGGAGGGAGGGAGGAAGGGAGGGAGGAAGGGAGGGAGGGAGGGAGGTAGTGGAAAGCCTGCCTTTGTGTCATCACAGAGAAATGCTTGGATCTTGAGTGAGAGGAGGTGCCAAGGCGAGGAGCCAAATTAGTAGTTTCTTGATGTGGAAAAGGGGGTTCTGGGTGGGAACTTGAGTCCACTCAGGATTCAAATCACAGGTTGCTACAAAAATGCTGACAAGAGGAGAAGCAACAGGGCGTGAGTAGGTACAAGGTTGGGGTGCAAGTGGACAGATGGAGAAAGGTAGTACTGCAGAGAGGAAGGAGGGGTGGAGGGAGGGAGTGGCAAGCTCAAAAACGTGGGTTTATGGTGCAATAGTCGTGCCATGGTCACACACACTGCATGGCATGGTATGGCGTGGCATGGCAGCATAGCATGGCATGGAATCAATTGGCATGGCGTGGCATGGCATGTCATCTCATGGTACTGCATGGCATGGCCTGGTATGGCATGGCATGGTATAGAATGGCATGGCACAGCATGGCATGGCATGGCACGGCATGGCATGACATGACACGGCATGGCATGACATGACACGGCATGGCATGGGATGGCATGGCATGGCATGGCACGGCATGGCATGGCACGGCACGGCATGGCACGGCAGGGCACTGCACGGGATGGCATGGCATGGCACGGCATGGCATGGGATGGCATGGCATGGCACGGCATGGCATGAAAGGGCATGGGATGGAATGCCACCCATGGTATGGCATGGCATGGCACGGCATGGCAAGGCATGGCGTGGCATGTCATATGATGGCATGACATCCCATGGCACAGCACGGCAAATCCTAAAGGCACGGTAGGGTGCTTCGGTGTGGATGCGAGCTTACAAAGAGTTCAGAGCGGTGAGCACGCTTAGGATAGAAGAAATAGTGCCTGAGAGGCGGTTGTTGGCCACAGACCTGCATTGCAAGCCAGGCCATCGGTACATGCTTGCTTGAGTAACACAACGAGGGTTCCACCATTGATGCATTGGTGTCTGCTCTGCCTCCCAACTAAGCATAAGCATTTTACGAGTCCGGCAAAACTTGACTCTTTTTTGCTTAACTCGGTTGAGGTTTTGCCCAAGTCGTTTTTTGTCGGATCGATTTTCACTTGGTAACGCATACAACCACCACATGGACGATTTCTATTTAGTCGTCAAAACATGGCTCCTAGCATACCGCCCCCACTCCCCCCACCCCCACCCAACCCCCTCTTCCTCGGCCCTCAAAGAGATGGTTTTGCCACCTGCTTCATCCATGCCACCTGCTTCATCCATGCTACTGCACGGATCTGGCAGAAACATGTGATGCCAAAACTCGATTTCTCTTGAAAACTCTCTATGCTGGAAAATGGAAACTCTTGGAAATTCGATTGCTCATGAAAACTCTCTACGCTGCCTTTCTGCACTGCAATGCCCAGAACACAAAATGGAGCAACTCACAAAAACATCATGCTTTTCATCGAAGACAATTGACTGGGAAGCGACCCAGAAAAGGAATTTTGGCCAAGGTACCTGCATTGACAACGCACACGGGCGTTTGAGGGTCACCCACAGCAGAGAATGAAGGGGGGGGAGTAGCATGAATGGAGGCAAGTGATGGCGTGCAGCGGGAGCGATGGGGACTGCAGTTGGGGATGCTTACATCCTGCTTATATACTGTAATTTGGAGATTTGCGAAGAAATGGTCCTCGAGAATTGGTTGCTCGTGAGATCTCTGATGTTGGCAGGGACACAGTGTGGAGGGAGGCAGGGGGATTGAGGGAATGAGGGAAAGAGGGAGGGAGGGAAAGAAGGTGGGAGTGAGGAAGGGAAGAAGGGCCGAAGGGAGGGAGGAATGGAAAGAGGAAGGGAGGGAGGCAGGGAGGGAGGGCGGGAGGGAGGGAGGGAGGGAGGGAGGGAGGGAGGGAGGGAGGAAGGAATGGGGGGAGGGAGGGAGGGAGGGAGGGAAGGAGGGAGCGAGGGAGGAAGGAATGGAGGGAGGGAGGGAGGGAGGGAGGGAGAGAGGGAGGGAGGGAGGGAGGGAGAGAGGGATGGAGGGAGGGAGGGGGGGAGGGAGGGAGTGGAGTAGGGAGGAAGGGAGAGAGGGAGGAAAGGATTTAAGAAGGGAGGAAGTGTGAATCAATATGTTTGGGTCTTGGGGGTAGTGGGGGTGGAGTGGCGGGAGTGTGCAAAGGCGAGGAGCCTGGAAAGGTTATTTATGCTGACAACGTCTTGATCAGTAGACATGGCGATGGGTCGACAGGGGGCGTGTGGAAGACAGGGTTACTAGAGTCATGTTGACAGAATTCAGGTCGACTTAAAATTCAAATTACTGGTATGAGCCATGCTGAAAAGTGGGGCAGCAACAGAGAATGGGTGGGTGATGTGGTGGGGTGGTAGGATGCAGACAGAGACAGGCAGTGCTGCAGAGAGGACAAGGAGGTGGACCGTGAATGGAGCAAGTATCAAGCACGAGCTGGTGTGCTTTATGTTCAGTGGACGTGGCACGGCATGGCATTGCATGGACATGGCATGGCATGGCATGGCATGGCATGGCAAGGCCTGGCATGGCATGGGATGGCATACGGGCACAGTAGGGTGCTCTAGTGTGTAGGCGAGCTCACAGAACGTAGAGATAGGGTAGGGTGCTCAGGTTAAGAATGGAGCCTGAGAGGCGGTTGTTGTTCAAGAACCTGAGAGCAAGAGCAGCATTGGTAGAGCAAGAGAGGCATCGTTGTTTGGCGCCCAAGAAACGTTTGGGTGGCATGGCTTATTAATGGCGTGGTGCAGTGATTAGTTCATAGAGCACATTGATGGTAGCAATCACTAAAACCAGCCTCTGAACACCTTGCTTGTTGTAATGTAATGTGACGTGACTCAGTGCAGGTAAGGAAACATGTACAGACATCTAGGGAGAGGTGCCGACGTCGCAAACTAGTATCTCAAATTGGAACACAGCTCACTCCTGCTATGGGAGGCTGATGCAAGTCTGCGTTTTGAGTAAAACCTACAGCTTTTACAGCAAGCAGTACTGACAGGAACTGCATCTCTGGCATGAGGCCAATGTCACTGGGAAGCGTTCCCATTAGCTGGTTGTTGCCCAAGTATCTGGTTGCAGCATGGGTGCAGAGAGGATGTAAGAAGGGTTGGAGGGGGACTGGATCCGTGGGGGAAGGGTTGGAGAGTAGCGTGGTAAAGAGAGTGACACAGAGAAGGGCGCATGTGGACGACTGTGGTCCAATCATGACTATGACACCTCTTGAATATAACTAGAGACAACAGCGGACGACCAACCACGGTCGTCCGAAGTCAAAATTGGTACAACAGAACAGACAGACAGCATGGACACAAGTTGCTTGTTTGCAACGGAAAGGAATGAGCTGTTGCCTCCGGCCAAAAAGTACAGTACGAGTGCCATATAATTCTGAGTGGGCTTTTGAGACGTTCTAACAAAAACAAAAGAAATGTATGGTGCCAGAGCGCACAGTTGTGTAAGAGTTGGCAGATTGCTGATTTGGCTGGGTATTGTACCCGATAGCTGGTTGTTGTTGAGCAGACTGCAAGGGATGTGAGGAACAAGTACAAGAACAAGCGAATGAACAGGATGGGAACTCTCGAGGGGCTACGAGCAACTTAGGTTGACACAGCCACCAAGAAAGCAAGGGCCAGAGGTCAAGCGCAGTCGGAATGGGAGATGGCGGAGAGGGAATGGGAGGGAGGCATACAGATGGAAAGCAAATGGCACTCTGGTGGAGAGAGAGGCAGCAGGCACACGTGCAGAGATGCAACATGCACACGTGCAGAGAGGTAGCAGGCACATGTGCAGAGAGGCAGCATGTGCAGGTGCAGAGAGACAACAAGCACTGGCAAGCAGGCATTGAAGGGTGTTCTTACACTTGTCTGAGGCTGAGCATGCCAGACACCATGCCCGCTGGAATGGAGCCCATGAGTCGATTTGAATTCAACACCCTGTTGCCACGCAGCAGCACAGAGAGGCGGGCTGAGCACGTGCAAGGGTAAGGATGGGAGCAGGCACCTGGGGGCGTGCTGCGTGCATGCACACACACCCACAAACAGGGGCTATGGAAACAAAAATGGATGGAAATTTGAAAGAACAACGACAACATCAGATTTGAGACATCTCAATCTATATATATATATCATTTCTGGTGCCAGAGGCGCACAGTTGTGTAACACGTGACATTTTAGTAATTTCGCTGGGTATGGTGCCTGATAGCAGGTTGTTGCTGAGCAGACTGCAAGAGATGCGACAAACAAGAAAAAAAAAGCCATGAATGGGAATTCATGAGGAGAACAAAAGCCATAATTGGGAAGTCACGAGGGGTTACAAGTAGCTTAAATTAACAGCCACCAGAAAAGCAAGAACCAGGGGTGAAGTGCAGAGGGCGGGGTGCTATGGGAAGGGAGACATACACATGCATACAGCACTCTTGTGGAGAGAGAGGCAACATGCATTGGGGACTGTGCTTACAGTTGTCTGAGGTTGAGCATGCCAGACAGCATGCCCCCTGGAATGGAGCATGTGAGTTGATTCCCTTGCAGCTGCCTGATGCCATGCATCAAAGAGAGGTGGACAGGGCACATGCACGTGTAGGGGTGGAGCAGGCAAGTGGTGAATGAGGCAATGGGACGTGTGAGTGTGTGTGCACGCGCACGTGTGCATGGATATTTGAAACATCAACACAGATAAAAGGAAAGACAAACATTCTGGAAGGAGACTCCCAAAGTAACAACACTCACAGTCGCATCAAGCTGCTGAGTCCGGTAATTGCATGGATTGTGCCACTGAGCTGATTGGATTGAAGATCCCTGCATCCATCATACTCCCACACCGTTCCATGGTCCTACATATTGTGACAAACACACGAGATCACCATGGCATCAGCATGTGAGACAACAGGATGACGTGAGCATGACATCAGACACAAAAATGCCCCCTGTTATCAGACCCATCATCCAACCACCCACCCACCATGAACATTCCAAAACTCCTCTTGACAGCTTACCTTTCCTTGTTTCTGCATCCACCCACCTTCTCCCCCTTCCCCCCTATCCTTAGTTGGCATATTACGTTCACGGTGGTTTACGTGTACGTGACTTTACGTAGTCAACTTACGTATACTTACGTGGGCCCAAAACGGCTTTACGTTTACGGTCAGCCAGAAACACTGCTGGCCGGAAAGATAAGAATTCATCGCACCAAGTAGCTACATGGGAAGCGCCTAAACAATCACTAGATTGGTTATTCTATGCCCAAGCATGTTAGCGCATTACATCAACTTACAGATGGCCCAAATCTACACGGACATGGCACAGCGTCTCCCACCACTTATCAGTCGGACTTTTCCATTTTGCAGCAAAAAAAATAAAAAAAATTACCCTGCCCGTGCGACTTTACGTAAAATTACACGTAAGAAAACGCAAAGGTAAACTCAAGCGTAAGTTTACGTGCACGTGACCCTAAAAAACGTAAAGTACCAACTAAGCCCCTATCACGTCCCCCTTTACCCTTCCCCCCTCCCCTATCTATCATATCCCGAATTATCTTACCACAACTATAGTTGTTGAGTGATGCCCCACGGTACTACACAGTGCAACACACACTTCTCAGTGTACATTGGCCCATTACACGTCAAAACTCCCATAGGTTCCCCTGCTTCCTTTTCACGCACTCCCTCACCTCACTTTTCCCTCCAACCCTGGTGAACGGCCCCCCATGTGCCCCCATCCAACCCCAATTTAGCTTAGCCTAACAGCAACTTTCCCCCAACCTAAACCCAACCTCACGGTACTCACCCCATCCTCACCCCAAGAGAACCCCAAAGACCTCCTCATGCCTCCTCACAATTGAATCAGAGCAGTAGGGTTGACGAAAGATTGTGGGAGGGGTCCTGTGAGCTGATTCTTATTTAACGCCCTGCGCAGGGGTGGTGGGGGGGATGGAGGAGGAGATAAGGGAGGGGGTGGAGAGCATGAAGGCTTGGAAAAAGGCTGGAGGTGGTTTGGAGTAGGCCAGGGAAGTGTGAGGCTTGGTCTGCAACCGCCATAGACCCCGCCTCTCTCCCTCCGAGCTTCCCCATTGCAGCAGACGGACTGCGGATATTAGGAAGCCCAATCGGGACCCCAGATGGCTGTGCCGCCAGAGTAAGGGAAAGGCTTGCAGCAGCAGCAGAACCCTTGCCGCTCCTGGCCCAAATGGACCCCCAATTGTGCCTGCTGCTACTCACCCGCTGCGTGGGCCGGCGAGCATCCTTCCTGGCCAGAACCACTCCGCTAGAGGCACTACCTGAGGATGAATGGGCGGCATGGGGGGAGCAACTGCTGCATACCTTCCTGGACGCGGCCCATATCATGCTGCCAAGGAGTGACGCGGAACAGAGGAGAATCTGGAGGCAAGCGGCGCTGGCCGTAACATTGGGGGGGCTTGGCATTACAAATCCTGCAGTTGAAGGGAGCTATGCGTACCTTGCGTCGGTGGTGGGCACCTCCCACTTACTGCACTCCCTGGCCGAGGCACTCCACCCAGATGTAGCAGCCCTCCTCCCCCTAATGGACCCCACCTCCGGCTCCGCGCACGCCCTGCCTGCACGCCTTGCAGCAGCGGAAGCAGCCCTCCCCCCCGAGGCTCTAGAAGCTCTCCAGGCCGGGAAAGCAGACCCACAGGGCCTCAAGCTGCAGCAGTCTCTAGCGCTGGCGGTTCAGACACGCCGCTTCCTGAGGGTCATGAATGAGGCAAGGCGGATGCGCCCCAACCCCCTCTCTGGCCATGCCCAGAGAATGCAGTCGGTGCTCGGCCCTGGTGCGGGAGATTGGCTGCTGGCACTACCCATCATACCCTCGCTTAGGATGGGACCCTCCCAGCTCTCCTTCGCTGCTGCGTTCCGCCTGGGCCTCCCCCTACCTGTCCCCAGGCGCTGCGACTGCCGCTACCGCACCAAATTCCCTGATGACCGCCTCCCAAACCATCTCATGCGCTGCGAGAAAGGGGGGGGAAGGATTGCGACTCACCATGCGCTCAGGGACGAGATTGTTTTGATTGCGGCAGAGGCGGGATTCACGGTGCACAAAGAAACCTATGTATTCTCTCTCGTTGAGAACCTGAAGGCGGACGTCGCAATCCGCCATCCCCGGACGGGAGAGGTTTGGATGTGCGACGTGACAGTGACGGACCCCGTTTCTCACCAAGATGAGAACTGCAATAGAGCACCGGGGTGGGCGGCTAGGGCAGATGCGGATAAGAAGGAGAAGAAATACGCGCGCCGAAATGCGTGGGTGGGCTTTCATGCCCTAGCGGTAGAGACATATGGGTACCCCTCGCCTGGGGTGTTGGCATTCTTGCGGCAGTGCGCGGAGCTGGCGGCCAAGTTGCAATTCAACGCAGCCCCCAACTCCTACGAGGCCGCCAAGCTGCTAACGGAATACCGCCAGCGCTGGAGCGTGTGCCTCCAAAAAGCACAAGCCAACGCCCTCCGCTGCAAGACCAACGAGGCGATAGCAGCGGACGAGCTCGGCATGCGGGGCCCCTTTGCCCCCCTTAGCGAAGGCCAGCTCTACCAGCTAATAGAGCCCTCGTTCGACCTTTAGGGTCGGACGGAGGGGGCGGGAGGGAGTAAGGGAATGAGGTAGTTAGGTAGACCAAGTGTTATGTCTGGGTTTGCATGTGTTTGCATCTTCCCATGTATCTCCCATCAATCAATACCAGGACCATTCGAGAGAGAGAGAGAGAGAGAGAGAGAGAGAGAGAGAGAGAGAGAGAGAGAGAGAGAGAGAGAGAGAGAGAGAGGATAGAAGACCCCTCCGGCCATTAGGGCCGGGCGGGGAGGGGGGGGCTGGGGCTGGGGTAGTGCGGGGTTAGCTGTTGTTTTGCTGTAGCCTTGCTGCGAGATTGCTGTAGCATTACCATGTGTGTACCTTGCTGACATTAATACCAAGGACCGTTCGAGAGAGGATTAGCCTCTCCCCTTCTACCCTCTACCCTCTGCTTTCTGCCTTCTGCCATGACTACCTAAGGCCACGGCGGCCTCTCCATCTCTCATTCTTTCAGTTAGTGCTGAAAAAAATGGTGTTGTTCGAGAGAGCGAGAGAGAGAGAGAGGATTAGCCTCTCCCCTTCTACCCTCTGCCCTCTGCTTTCTGCCCTCTGCCATGACTACTTAAGGCCACGGCGGCCTCTCAATCTCTCATTCTTTTAGTTAGTGCTGAAAATTTTGGCGCTTCGCGCCGGCGGCCTTCGGCCGGCCGTTAGGGACGGCAAGGGGAAACAACAAGCAGTAGTAGCTTAGGCAACCGATACAAACAAAGCAAGCATAGACACTTAGCAAGTAGAGGATGGAACGGGTCTATACGCGCAAGGGGGGAGCGCCTACATGCGGTCCGCCTCTACCGCAGCGAGCATTCCGCTCGTGTTCAACCACAACTGGCGGACCACAGACACGGTGGCGCCTACAACGTCAACAAGAGTACCAGGGCCTGCTACAAGCGTCCTCTGAGCCAGGGCCGAGTCAGCCAGCTGGCTGGCTGAGGTTGCTCCCGGCGAGGGCGCTACCTGCAGTGGCGTTACGAGCGCGAATAGCGCTGACGCCGCCGCATGACAATCTGCTCGCGGTTTCCGAGAGAACCTGCTCGGAGGGCTCACCGGCATGGAGTCATATGACTCCTGGAGAATCCACTCAAGGCTCTGTAGGGACGCCGCCAGCGACCATAGGCGGGCCAGGGTCGCCGTGGGAACTTCCTTCATCGGCGGAAGTAACGCAGACGCGCGGGCACGGTGAGACGACACGGCGAGATCACGCGGAGCAGGACGAGGACGCGGCGGAGCAAACTGAGCCCACGGCGGCCCGCCACCAGCACCTACGAAGCCCATCCCCGCAGGCAGCGGCCACTCTGAACGCGCCTGGGATCCAAAGGGATTGTGGGGCAGGAGTGCGGAGAGAGGGACGACGGGAGCAGCGCGAGGAGCTGATGGTGACGCCGACCCCGCACGCGAGCGACGAAGCTCCTTCTCCACGTCATCAAGCCTATCCAGAAGACGGCGCTCCATTGCGGACGGCGCTGGACGCGCTTTTCCGCCACAACTGTTACCCCCCCGTCGCCCACGACGCGCACGCCCACTTGCGCTCGAGCGCACAGGCGACTGCGGGCGAGATGGGCCCTGCTGGCGCTGGCGGCCAGGAAAACGGTCCCCGCGACGAGGGGAGTAGAGCCGTTGGCGCTTTGCAGGAGGGGGCGAACGCGGAGCTGGGGGCCGACGCCCAGACGTCTGGCGGGCAGGCGACCGCTGGCGAGATGAACGGTAAGGGGGCGAACGATGACGATGCGAACGGCGGTCACGGGATCGGCTTCGCGACGCCACGCGACGAGGCGAACGAGGCGACAGCGGCGAACGGGCCGCACCGTGACGATCATCGCGGCGGCTCTCCTGCTTATCGTTGCAAGCTGCCGATGAGCGACGGCGAGGCGAACGCTCCTGGTGCGCCACAGCCTCTGCGCCGGAGCGCAAGACAAACCCCGCGCACGGGGGCTTCCGCGGTGACAAGAACCTGCCCACGCGCGGAGCCAACTCGCGCCGCTGGTCCTCGAAGCGGCGGCGGATCTGATCAGCGGACGCCGGCGGAGCAACAGGCACGCTCGCGGCAGGGCGTGCAGGAGGAAGCGGACGGGGAGCAAGATCGCTCTCCGCGGTGCAGTCGCGGCCAAGAGCGCCAAGGAAATCCATTGGCCAACGCTCAAGACACTCCACTGGCACACGAGGAGCCGACAACGCCGATCTCCCAGGCGCAACAGGCGGAACCTGTGGCAGCTACCCCGCGGAGCGGACGGGGAAGCACGCGGGGGAGAGGCAGGCGACGAGGAGCGCGCGGAGGGCAGAGGAGCGCAGGCCAAGCGGGAAGGGGACCGCCCTACTAGTTGCCGAGCTCAATCTGGTTGGGGGAGCCGGCGGAACGAGTCACGCGCCAGTCATTCGCCAGGCGGGGGGCGAGGGGAGGAACACTAGCGCAAGCGGGGAGAAACAGGGATATCAACACAGAGGGGAGTGGAGACGATTATATACCATCAGATCTGAGGCAACCACACGATCCCGCCTCACCTCACGCGGAACAAGGAGAGGGGCAAGCGCAGCAACAGGAGAGAGGAACCGGCCGCAGACAGGATCGCAGGGCTCAGCTTCCCCCGGACCAGGCACTATCGGCGTCCCAGCTGGCCTCGCGGGAGGATCTTTTCCAGATCGCGATGACTTGGGACCTTACACTCCTAACCTCCACCACCCACCTACCAATCGTCCGCCGACTGCCGCCGCAGATCCTCAGCGACTACTCCACATGTATGCTGGCTGCCCTACTTCGGATCTCCAAGCTGCCTAACTGCGCGGGAGCATGGCGGGTCCTCATGTTCCTGCCACGTCTCACGCTAAGACTTAGCTGGAGATCCAGCTCTAGATGGAAACTGCTGCGGGAACAGATGCATCTATTCCGATGTGGCCACTGGACCCAGCTGTACACTGACTACTTGGGGTCAATGCACCTGGCCGAACCACCTCAGCACCAATGTGACCCACTGGGAATCTGCTCACGTGCAGAGGGGTTGGTGAAACGGGGTAACCTGCGAAAGGCATTAGCAGCCCTACAACCCTCGCCTTCAGCACATGCGACAATTGCGACACTACAGCAGTTGGAATCGAAACACCCCCAACCCCAAAATGACCTGCCCGAGTGGGTGCATTCCTACACCACACCCACGCAATTCTCAACCACTCTGGAACGCTTTTTCGACGTCCTTGGAGAATGCCCCAGGGGAATTGGGGCTGGCCCATCGGGGTCAACTTTCGAACACTACCGCGATCCAGCGCTAAGTAACATCGAGGTACTAGGGCACCTCCACTCTGCCGTTACGCATCTTCTCTCGACAAATCTTTCCACTGAAGTCGCAGCACTACTTGCCCCGTCCCGCCTTTTAGCCTTCGCCAAACCAGGGGGGGGGGGGGGGGGGGGGGGGGTGGGGGGTACGTCCCATTGCGATTGGAGAGTCATTGCTTAGGCTGGCGGCGAAGGTGGCGCTCTCAGATCTGCAAGGAGAAACGCGAAATTTTTTCCTACCTCAGCAATTTGCCGTGGCAGTCCCTGGAGGTGCAGAATTTGTCATCCATGCTGTCCGAGACCTCACCACGGTGCAGCCCTCCAGCCTAGTACTCCAGCTCGACATTGAGAACGTGTTTAACTCAGTAGAGAGGAGCGCGTTCTTCAACGCACTCATCGGCTCCCCACTAGCTCCCCTAATCCCCTTTACACGCTCTTTCTACGCAGCATCTTCACCACTGCTGCTCGACCCATGCTTCAATTCCACGGCACTCACCAGCGGAAGGGGAGTAAGACAGGGGGATCCCCTCGGGCCTCTGTTATTTGCAGCGTCTATCCAGCAGCACCTCAGGCACGTAGCAACGGAGCACCCCGAAGTCACGGTCCTCGCTTACGCGGACGACATAACCATGATTGGACCCGTGGCGGCGACGCTGAAAGCGCTCAGGGAGCTCACGCCGCTGCTGGCACGGGACGGTCTCACCTGCAACTTTAGGAAGTCGTCGGCGTGGTCCACCGTGCCGCTAGGAGGGGACGTACTCCCCGAGGGCCTTCCCCTCACCCGCGAGGGGGTGCGGGTGTTGGGAAGTCCAGTGGGGTCGCAGAGCTTCTGCTCTGATTTTGTCCGCAGCACCCTGACAGACGTGGCAGCCCCCTTGGGCTCTCTGGCGTCCATCCACCCACAACACGCCCTCCTGCTACTGTCTCGTTGCATCAGCCGCAGAGTCAGCTACCTGCTGCGCACTACCCCAGCTGACGTCTTACCGCTCTCGGAATGGCACACATGGTGCGCCAAATTACTGAACACTGCCTTGACTGCCGCCAGCATTCAACCACCACGCCGACAAGCCGAGTTCAACTTCCTTCTCTGACAGGCAACTCTCCCAGTAGCCCTAGGCGGACTGGGCCTTACGGACCCCACAATTGAAGCAGTAGCGACCTACCTGGCATCTATAACAGAGGCGCTGCGCCTGCTCCGCTCCCTGGACTTACCGGCAACCGCGCCGCTAGGGGCCGACAGCAACGCCCTGCAGCTGTCTGCAGCGCACTCCGTGACCATCCAGGACATGGAGGGGCGACTGCCACCGCTGGCGCTACAAAACCTACGGGAGGAGCAGCAAACCCCGTCCCAGGACCAGCTGCAGCGCGCCCTCTCCCAGGAAGTGCACGCGGCAAAGGCCGACGCCCTAAGAGAGGAGTCACGCGCAATACAGTCAGCCCCCAAGATGGGCCACACACTCCGCCTAGTCAGCCTGAGAGGAGAGGGAGTGGGAGCGTGGCTGCAGGCACTACCCTTGACCCCGGACCTCTGCTTCTCACCGGGACAGTTCCGAGCGGCCCTGGCCTTCCGCATGGGCGTCCGACAGAATGTACCAACCGTGTGTGAGTGCGGAGAACTCGTAGCCGACTGGAGCCTACCCAACCACTTACTCCGCTGCAGCACAGGCCCCGACAGGACGCGCACACACAACCAGCTGGCCTTCGCCATGGCTAAAATGGCGAGGGAGGCGCAGCTGGTGGTATACCTGGAGAATGCGATGTACTCACCTCCGGATGACCCGAAGAAGGCAGATGTGATTGTACAAGACCCGGACAGCGGAGAGACCTGGATCACAGACACCACTATCACTGACCCTGTGCTACAGAACCGAGACCCTACGGCCCGCAACCCCCCAGGTTGGGCTGCAAGGGAGGCACAGAAGCGGAAGGAGAGGGACTACTACCGACACACTGAACACGTGGTGTTCTGCGCCCTGGCCGTCGAGACCTATGGGGCAAACGCGCCCCCCACGACGGCGTTCCTGAAACTGCTGGCCACAGCAGCAGCTAGGAACCACTTCAGGGCCAGCCCCTTGGCGAAATCCGCCAAGAAGATGGCCTGCCACTTCAGCCAGCGCTGGTCAGTGGCCCTCCAGCGCTCCCACGCGAACGCCCTGCACACCAAGGCCAGGGCTGGGATTGAGGCAGCACACCCCCAAATGGCAGCGGACCCCTGGCCGCTGCACCTGGGGGACATCCTCCACACGCTGAAGGGCAAGAGGGTCACTCAGGGGGGAGGGGAGGGGAAGAGGGGTGAGTTGATGGGCTTATGGGATTGAGGTTATCATGGATAGAACTGCATGTCTGTACCCCTGCTGAATTAATACAACGGACCATTTGTGTGTGTGTGTGAGAGAGAGAGAGAGAGAGAGAGAGAGAGAGAGAGAGAGAGAGAGAGAGAGAGAGAGACTAGGGAACCAGCCCTTAGATTTCAGCAGCACCCCTCTTTCCTCCTATGGGTAGCCTAGTGGTAGGAGCAGCTAGGCCACTCCCTCTCTAAGTGTAGCCCAGCCCCACAGCCTATAGTGAGTACAGTTCCTTTCTTAAGCCCACAATCTGCATTTTTGATCCTCATTAGTTACTGGCAAGTCATCTCCCCAACCCAGCGGCTCGTTCGAGAGAGCGAGAGAGAGAGAGAGAGAGAGAGAGAGAGAGAGAGAGAGAGAGAGAGAGAGAGAGAGAGAGAGAGAGAGAGAGAGACTAGGGAACCAGCCCTTAGATTTCAGCAGCACCCCTCTTTCCTCCTATGGGTAGCCTAGTGGTAGGAGCAGCTAGGCCACTCCCTCTCTAAGTGTAGCCCAGCCCCACAGCCTATAGTGAGTACAGTTCCTTTCTTAAGCCCACAATCTGCATTTTTTATCCTCATTAGTTACCCGCGCGTTAGCGATGGCAAGGGGTAGGGGACCAAGCTCTATAACAACAGGGTTCACAACGCTTAATATGCAACACCGGCACAAGAACCCACCACAAAACCCCCTGGCGTAACCACAACACACATGGGAAAGCCCAAGCCCAGGACAAGCAAGGTCGGGAAGGGGAAAGCAGAACCTAATCGGCGAGGATCAAAGCCAGCCGCCCGTCCAACCAGCGCAAAAGCGCCGAGGCGGCTGGCACAAGGTCGAGGGGGGCACGACGGACTGAAGAGGCCAACCGCCTCACAGCGGAAGGCCCGGGACCAGAACCCAGCCCCGGGGAGCCTTTCTCGAGGCCCATCTGCGGGAGGCTCCCCATCATCCGCCGCGCCGCCGTCACCACAACGGCCCGCTGCCTCTTCGACAAAGGTGGGCAGACAACACGCCCACGTAACAGCCCTGAATGCAGCTGATCAAGCACCAACGCCAGCAGCTCCAGGACAGTCCCCACGGTCGCAACGCGCTGCTCGACGCGACGAAGCCGCTCTACAGGCGGACACTCCTCCCACCGACTACAGGGCTCATCGGGAACGGCAGCAGAGGCTACGGGTGCGGCAGCCGGCTGGGGAGTCGACAACACCTCACATGGTCTTGGGATCTCACACCCCCCAAGAAACAACTGTGGGAGCGCGCGCAGGGGGAGAGCAGGCGGTGCTGTTGGAGCGGGCAGAACAACCGCAGAGGCAGAGGGAGCGGACGGCAACGGGGAAAAAGAAGGCGGAGGAGCTGCCTGCAGAACAGATGGGGACTGTGGCGGGAGCGGCGACGACGAGGGTTGCGACGGCGGCGACTGAGCCTGCGGAAGAAGATGGGACGGCGGAGGAGAGGACCCTGGCACCAACGATCGCGGAGAACGCGGGAGAGGCGGAGGAAGGCCCGACTGACGGCGAGTACGACGGAAGGACTGTTGCTGACGCGGTCGCAGAAACGCATGAGTCCGCCCAGGAGGGGAGCGATACACCGGCTGGTGCGAGCCACCACGGCGACCATGCCGAGGAGGCCCGCCACGCCGGCCGCGAGACGACTGGGAAGAGGATCCGCGTCCAGCCAGCACCGCGAAGGCTCGGAGCAGGCCTGGCACCGGGTCCCCCGGGGCCCCTCCGGGGATGGCATCTGCAAGAGCAGACGCCACACGTCCAAGGGCACCGTCAGCCATCGAGGGGTACGAGCAGCAGGGAGACCGCAAGGGGTGGAGGCGGAGGCGAACCGCAAACCGAACAGACAGCGACTCGACCACAACCACAGGTAGGAGTAACAGCAGCCGGGAACGACGCCCAGCCAGAAACGGAAGGCAGGGCGACTCGAAGCCGCGCGAGAGGAGGCAGAATCGCCTGGGGACCGCCGAAAGGCGGACGATCGACCGTGAGGCAAGCGCCGTGAATGCCGGCGGGACGAGGGAGCGCAACCCGCGGAGGGCAAGGAGGGAACAACGGCGCTGGCAGGGGAAGAGCACGCGGAGACCAAGGCGGGGGACGAGGAGGAAGAGGGGGGAGAGGGCCAGTCGTGGGCGGAGAGCCAGCACTGGTTAGATCCGGGACGTGGCGGGAGCGACACAACCGTCCGGAGATTGAGCACGAGGTGGCGAATGAGGAGGAAAGCACTGACGACAACGACAGTGGGAGTGAATTTAATCCTGACAATGAGCACGTTTCGGAGGAACTCTCACAGTCCGGGGGGGAGAGTGAAGAAAGAATTGCCACACGGGGTAGGGCAAGGCTTGGAGATGGCGGGAGAGGCAACAATGAGGAACCGGTAGATGGCGCGGGACCAGCACCACAGCCGGAGCCAAGCATACGTCAACCATCTGA